GAGACATAGTTGGTTCGGAGCGGTGCTGGCCTCACCACATTCTCATGCTCCTTACCAGCCTTCATAGGTGCTTGCAAACAGCAAAAGTCTATGTTGGCTACATGGGGGATCTTTGTCTGTTTTTAGGTTAGGTCCATCAATTCTGAATCATGTATGTGTAAATGTATACAGAATGAGAATAAAAATCTTTATTTATACAATTGTAAATACTACATATGCTTATTTTACTTGTGTATACAGTATGTTTGTGTGTTTGCCTCCGGAAGTATTAACGTGTGCACGTATATGTGCATATTCTTGTGTGTATGCAGTGTGGAGCAGTAATTTAGCGGTTAGCGCGCTCCGCTACGAACCCGGCGACCCGAGTTCGATTCCCACTCATGGCCAACACCAGTGACGATTATCTGTACCGGTCCTGGGCCTCCCCTAGGTCGACTCAGCCTCAAATTATTTATTTTTGCGGTTTGTACCATGTCACTGGGGAGACAAAGGCGGCCGGGCGTGGTGCTGGCCACCCACCCCCTCGTGTGCTGTGCCGGCCTTCACAGGTGCTATTCGCTTACAGCACTTGCCCCTACAGTCTGTTACAGGCCGCGCTATACGAGGGATAGGTTTGTGTTTGGGTGTGCAGTGTATTTTGACACGCAGGTGGTGGGGGAGCAAAGTGGTGCACCTGCAATTACGTCAGTCGGTTAACCCTAACAACACCTGGGGGTCTGTCCCTTGACTTACTGCCAAAGAGGCTTCTACACTTCACGTAACGGCCTCAACGTGGACCTGGCCTGGCACGAGCGCCGTGGTGACATCATCGTTGCCTCGTGAATGGCGGTGGCTGCTGCTGTTGTGTGTGAGGCGGCTCAGTGGTTTGCGCACTGCTATACGACTTGAGTTTGATTCTCGGCCACAACCAACATCAGCGGTCGAGTGGTATCACAAACTCTCTAGGACCACGCCTAGGTCGACTCAGCCTTAAATAGTTACCTGTTGTGATGTGTAAAATATTATCACTCGTGCTCATTCTGGCCTTAAAAGGTACTTAGCAGCATTTCTCCCAATAGTATATGTATGCTACAAAGGAAGATCTTTGTCTTTTCTATACATGTGCGTATGTGTTTATGTATCTGTGTCTGCATGTGTATTCATAGATGTGTGCATACGTATGTTTAACTTCTTTGCACCGTACGTAGCCAACCGTGGTCAGGATTAGGGCAAGTTCTGTCATGGTGAGGGATAGTGTCTAATAGGCTAGTTAGGTGAGGGTTAGGGCAAGGGACACTGTCTCGTTCTGTTAGGGTTCGGTGTTAGGGTCCGTTTGCCCGGTTTCAGAGTTAATGGTCGTGCTCGCATTACAACGGGTAGAGCCGTTTAGCCACACCACTCTCGCCTCTCTTCCCCCAGTCACTGCACCCTCTTCGCCATCTGTTCAGCCTATTGCTTGCGGCTTTCAGAGCGGCACCATCCATCGGTGTTGCTGCCAGCGCTGTAAGCCGAGCCCCGGAGCTCGCGGAGCTCACGGGCACAGGCAGAGGGTGAGGGGGGGAGGGTGTTGTTGACATTCCTCGTGTCGCTGTAGCGATGGCCCCCCTCACACTCTCCCCTCCGCCCTCACCCCTCCCCCACGCAGAGAGGTCACGCTTTGCAACTGTTGACTGGAAGTCAGGGGTCTCGTAACCTTCCCGCAAGGGTCATGGTTGCTTTTAATTAGTAAAGTCAACCGAAGGCCGGCCGCCCGATTGGTCGCTTAAAGCCGACTTCCAATCAGCAGCCGCAGTTCCAATGGGGGACAGGGACAATTCAGGCTTGCAGTGTTAATTTTGTTTGATAAAATTCGTGATAAAAAATATTCATCCACTAAGTTGTTTTTTATATTTTAGTCAATGGTGACTATGAGTGCACCAAAATCGTCGAGCGTGATTATGACTACAACTACCCATACACTCTCTGTCGACCAGGCTAAACATACATAAACCAAATCTACACGTCCAAGACCCGACTGAAATGCTGCAAGCCTGTGATGATTCAACCCCTGCCCAGAACGACCTGACAAATTGTCTCGATTCAAAAATCGATTATTCTGCCTTGTTTATATATTTGTGTATATGGCACGTCACACGTTTGCTCCATTAGACCACAGGTACATCGGCATTTTTACGTTACCAAGGTAAGGCCCACTGAGCTATCATAGCTCTTTCTCAGAAGCGACGTGGCAAAAGATAGCTCAACGAAGTGGCTTATCACGTGGATATTTATACTCGCAGCCAAACCCCCGAAACGCGTGTTTCTAAAAATCACACGCAAATCCCATCTGTCAATTCATTGCTGGATGAGGGCATCCCTCGCACACCGTGAGGGGAGTCGAGGTTATTTGAGCATACTTCACCACGCTGGTCAGTGCGGGCCAGTGCGTCAGGGACCACAGTACAGTACAAAACAAATCTTCCTGCTGTTCATCCAGTTGTGGCTCCGCAGCTGCCTATAACAATCTGTTTCGCGAGCGGCGGTCGCTCTAACCAAGCCCGTCTCTAGCGTATGGCAAAGTCTGTGCAAAACACACGTCCGAGTTTAAGTCTGTGAGCCACCCGATAGTTTCGGGAGTTGGCGCGACAAATACCGCTCAGTCCGCCGGAGAGCGGGCGTAGGATGCAGTTGGTTTCGATACGGTGGCTCCGTTGTCTGGTTCGGGTGGGCCGCAGTCACACTGTGGGCCGTCTTTAATTCTCCACTTGTGGAGGGGGAGGTGTGGGCACAGCGACCAGTTGGTCTTCTGAAGCGGTTAATGGAGCACCGTAGTTTTCTTGGCAGATCAAAGCCGTGCGGAGCAATGGTGAGGTCGTCCATGAGGCTTTTATTTGGGGCCTCCGCAGAACTCCATATGAAAGCCTCATCGACGACCCTGCCATCGCAGTGCCACGGCTTAATTCTGCCAAGCTTCCGAGACCTTGGCGAGAGTGTTTTTGCACGCAATATGCGACCGTGGATAATCGGCTGTCATATGCCCAAGTTGATGGGGTGTATCTATCTGACCGCGTGTCACAGTGGTGGGTGTCTCCTCCAACTCACAATCGGAGAGTGGCGAGGTCAAATACTGGTCCTGGGGGTGACTCGGCTCATCATTAACATCATCATCCCTATGCATTTTTTCAACAAGCCCAACTCTACTGATGAGACCCAGAAAGTTAAAACCAGCCCAGAATCTGCCTGCTTTAATAAATTCTGCTTGGTAACATCGGTCTGGAAAGCCAAATAGGCTGATCGTTTGAAACATAATTTTTTTGAAATGTGGAGACAGAACCGGATGTGCCACCCAGCATCTATTTGCCATGCCCAAGCTTCCAATGAACTGCAATACTTTGTGCCAAGTCGACACTTCCCGTCCGATGTAAAGACCGGCTCCTGCTATAGGAATGTGGAATTTACAACGCTGGTTCAGAACCCCCCCCACCCCCCATGGAGATGAAAGCTACCCCACGCTCGCTTGAACAAGGAGACACTGACTTTGACTGCCAGACCGAATGGTCGCATTGTATTACATCGATCCATTCTGAAAATAGCCGCGGTGGCAAACAGACAGCTTGAATGTGCCTATGCTCTGTCACCGCGAATCGGGCTGCAAGGACATGAGTAGAGAATTAAAATATACTAATGCTGCAAGAATTAAAATATACTAATGCTGCAAGGACATGAGTATAGAATTTAAATATACTACTGCTGCAAGGACATGAGTATAGAATTTAAATATACTAATGCTGCAAGGACATGAGTATAGAATTTAAATATACTAATGCTGCAAGGACATGAGTATTGAATTAAAATATAGTAATGCTGCAAGGACATTAGTATAGAATTTAAATTACGATGACGCTATCAAATGAAATCACTGTACATTTGGCATTCACACCACTCTTATAGCACTATTATGAAGGAATGTGCCGTCTCACAGACAATCATTTCAAGTCGTTTCATGGATATGGGTGGGACAATGTTGCTATGCGTAATTCCAAATACGGTATTTTGTGGGTACAATTTCAAAGTTGGCATATTTAGACCACGAAGCCAGCACACGATGAGCAAACTTTTTTTCCGATGGCATCACCGGATACTTTCACGTGAACCCCGAATCGGACAGCAGGCGGCATTAATGGTAAATACACACCACAGTGTTAACCAGGGCAGTCGTTGCATCCCAACCGCGAACCTCCGTAACAAGCGACCAACGCGCTACCACCAGGACACGTCGCTGCCCCATCATCAGCGTGCCAGGGAATGGCCCCCCCAGAAGACGACGTCACATAACTATTTCTGAGATTATTTCGACAGGCATCCCTCGCCCAACATTATTCGGGGCTCCGTACTTCTCCACGCGCCGTGCCGCAGAGACGGTGGTCGCACGGCAGAGTCAAACCAACCGTGATGATTCTCACAACCAAATTTCATGGTCTGCTTTGTTGTGCAGTCAATGTTGGCCTGGCGGAGACCATCAACTGGCTACACTTGAATACCCGGTTCAATCATTACCCAGTCTACATGATTCCACGCGTTTCTATGACATTGGTTTAAGTCTCTAGGAGAGTCTATGGATCTCTATTAGAGTCGATCGGTATATGTAAGTCTTTGGGCCTCTTTGTATGTCTATGGGTATCTACGCAAGTACATGGTGACTGGCCTCAGACCGCCAAATCACTATACACTTGAGAATCCGGTTTAATCACAACTTGGTCTTTGCGAGTCCATGGGCGTCAATAACAATCTTTACGTTTCACAATGAGTCGATGGGTCTCCATGTAGGTCTAAGGGTATCTACGCACGTAGCTGATGACCGGGTTGAAACATCGGCTCGCGAGACTTGAGAACCCAGTTTAATCACGGGTGACTAAAACCTGGATTCAAAGCTGGGCACTCGGTGGTGGCACCCCAGTGTCTCCAACACGGCCATTATGAACCCCTTAGCCACCCGTCATCCACGTTTGTATCAGGTCTCACAGCAGCGCGGGGCAACTCACCTTATGTCGGCATTTCATAACCACTCCGTAGGCACCTACGTGGGAGAGAATGTGAGAGTTAATTATCTCATAGGATACATCACTGACAAACTAACACTTTCATCGTACCACGTGGGTGAATGCACAGATGAACCGTTCATCTCGACCAATACTCACACCATGGGAGACGGGCAAGGTGGTGAGGAAACTAACAAAGAGACGGGTCGTGGGGGTTACTCGATCGTACTTCACCACGCTGGTCAGTACGGGTTGGTGAAGGCCGGGAGGATGGATATAGATGTGGCAGCATAGAAGTACAGCAATGGATGTTTCTGCACCACCCTTTACTGGCCACCAATGCAGTCTCACAGCCCTACAACCAGAGCCGCCCTCTAGGGTATACGGTGAATCGGGGGCGACTGCCCTGGGCCCCGCGCTTTGGGGGGGAGGGGGGGCGCCACGCTTCGACATCATGGTGTCAGACGTAGCACTTCCGCCTTAGTTTGAAAGCATCGGGCGGGGGCCCACACGGTGGAATTTTCTCCGTGGCACTGCACTCCCCCTCCCTATGGATGGGCCCAGCCTATGCAACCGGTGTGGACATGGCGGTTACCCGTCCAAAGCACTATACAGCCTCAAGCCTGCTTAGCTGCTCAGACACGATGAGATTACAAGAAGAGGCAAACGCGGTCCCGCTAAAGCCGCGTCGGCATCCTGATGCCGTCGTCCGCAAATTGTTACACTGGAAGAGGAGTTCCACGCCAATCGCGACCAAACAAAGATCCCCGTATAGCCTTAACAGACTATTATGGCGAGTGCTGTTAACGAGCACCTATCAAGGCCGACACGGCACACAAGGGGGGTGGGTGGCCAATACCACGCCCGCCAGCCTTTATCTCCCAAGCGGCGATGTTTGTACACCGCATCAGGTACTCATTTGAGGCCGAGCCGACCTAGGGGAGGCCCAGCACTGGTTCAGATAATCGTCACTGGCCGTGAGCGGGTATTTAACTCAGGTCGCCCAGATTCGTAGTGCAGCAACCGCTACTACTACCAAACCGCCACATCAAGGCACGCGTTTTAGAAAAGACAAAAACCACACAAGGTAGTAATTCATCACGAAACCGCTCGTGGCAACTACAAAGCTCAAGCCGAATTTACAAGTGTCTTCGTTTCGAAACTGGACCGGAGAAGAGTGATGCTTTGCGACTCAGAATAAGTCAAATTAAACGTGCACTCAAGAGAATTACAGCGGTAGATGTATGACGTTTAATCCCCTGAAAGGCTTCTGCACTCAATTCTTGTGTCGTTAATTTGTCGCTTTTTTTACTTGCCCCAAGCTTCAATGGTTATCTCTGCATCATCATCTAATTTATATACACTGCTGGATGAATACCTCCCCTCACGGCTCTGAGACACCAAAATTCACCTCACTCCTGCACAACAGCTGATCTTGTCGCTCCATCCCAAAGACGGGTGTCAAGATTTTTACAAAACCGCTCACCGATAGGGAAAAACGTGAACCATGACAAACCGGCTAATTGTGTGGAGGTGTCATGGGACCTCCTTTGCCAGTGTCAATATATAAGATTAGGTTTTCCCCTTTTTTTTGGCAACAAAACAGCTGTGTTAAGATGTAAAAACACCAAACTAAAACCTTTTGCAAGGAATCATGTCTGCATTAACCACAGATACTTGTGGTGAAAATACAAAAAACATGCTATAATAACAGTTTTCCCCCTTTTTTTCTGGCAACAAAACTGAAACCTTTTTACAAGGAATCATGTCTGCATTAACCGCAATACTTTTGGTCAGAATGCAAAAAAAAACACTGATAATATATGTATTGTCCTTGAAACTGATTGGTCCACACCAGAGACGGCTTTCTTTAGAGCCTCGTCTCAATTGGCGCTAGACCAGACGACGCCAAAAGGCGTACAGCTCAAAGACAATGCACTATCAAAGTAATGAGGGCTCGGGGTGAGCAGCTACATCATGGGACCTCCTTTGCAAGTGTCAAAATAGCTGTCTCTGGTGTGGACCAATCAGTTTCAAAGACAATGCATATATTATCAGAGTATGTTTTTTTTGCATTCTCACCACAAGCATTGTGGTTAATGCAGACATGATTCCTTGTAAAAGGTTTCAGTTTGGTGTTTTAATATCTTAACACAGCTGTTTTGTTGCCAGAAAAACGGGTAAAACCTAATCTTATATTTACGTGTGGAGGTGGTTCACTTTGTCCGAGGGGGTTCATAACGGGCTGCATTAGAGCCAGGACCAGTTCAGACGTTGCTTGCAAATTCAGATAAAACACCGGGTCGCCTCGGCACAGCCACATTAAATGGGTTAATCCACTTGCCAATCGGCAATCGGTTTATCCAACCGAGTGCTGATTTCACAGGAAAACCGGTGCCACAGCTGCCACGAACCCCACACGCATACACACTGTGAACAAACGTCCATCACAACGATGGAAAAACGTCCATTACGGTGATGAGCCGATCTCTAAACACTGGGTCACTTCCTTCATTTGATCCTCATGGCGGTACCCCGGGTACCAAATAATACGAAATGGCCGAGGCAATTAAATATTTTATTTCTGGGACACTATTTTTTCCAGGGGTGTACTTAACCAATCAATCCGAAATCTGTACCACTCCACGATGTCGAAACGCAGCGAGGACGATTGCGCTGAACCCCTGAACACTCGTACGCACCGGAGTGGTGCATCGTGCACAGCTCATCGAGATGAGTCAATTACCGCATCACCGACCATCAACAGACTAAACATGACTGCATCACAGACATTATGCGAGAGCCGGGGTACTATGGCACCCAAGGGTAACGCCACGAGATTCATTTGGGACAGGGTGACGGCTCGCCGTGCTGCCCGGTGGCAATCTGGCCGAGGGCTTAGACCCCGAAGCGTAAGGATGCGAGTTCACACCCCAGTCTGGGTTTGACTTGGGCTGTCATCATCATCATTCATCATCATCAATCATCATAACCAATCATCATCATCAATATCATCATCAATATCAGCATCAATATCATCATCAATATCATCAATATCATCAATATCCATCATCATCAATATCATCATCAATATCATCATCAATATCATCAATACCAGAATCAATATTATCATCATCATCATCAAAATCATCATCAATATCATCAATATCCATCATCATCTATATCCATCATCATCATTAATCATCATCAATCATCATCAATCATTGTCGTGGTCATTATCATCACTCCCCGGGTCTGTTGGTAGGGATGCGATGATTTGTGCTCTCCGTAACCCGAATTATAACTACAACAGGAAATTAGACTCGAGCGCTACTCCTAACGCCAAACACACGAGTCAACCAGACCTCTGTCCTAACCCTATTGACGCCAACCAAGGAAACATTTTCCCCAAACATTATAGCCAACCACACCCTAAGTGCTACACCAGATCACACTAGCCAAGCATACACTAGCACTACCCTGAACTCGAATTTAACTCACCAACCAGACCCTGTCACAGCCCCCAACACTCACCTTAAAACAACCAGACCCTATCACTTCCCATACCCCTCAACCTAACTAACCAGACTGTCACTAGGCTTACCAATCACTCAACAAGATCATATCACTACCCAACACCAACCCTAACGTAACTCTACCCCATCATATTCTTAGGTTTTTTCGGTAAAGTCACGTAGGTAAAAAATTAAAATTAATAAAAGTAAAATAAAAATCACGACGTTTCGGAGGCAACACAAGCTTCCGAAACGTCGTGATTTTTATTTTTATTTAACTTTTATTAACTTACATTTTTTACCTACCTGACTTTACCGAAAAAACCTAAGAATATCTACCCCATCACTCACTCTCCCAAACACTCTACCGCAAGCCTAACCTAATGCCCTACCCCAAACAGCCCCTATCACTATCCCTACCCCTAACCCAACAAACTCAACCAGCCCTTATCACCACCCTGACCCTTTTACGATGCCAGATTAGGCTTCATAAACCACACTGCTCCACTGCTGCCGTTGTACAGGCTGCTGCCGCTTCTGTGCATGCTGCTGCCGCTTCTGTGCATGCTGCTGCTGCTGCCGCTAGCATCGTGTGTGTCTGTGTGTGTGTGTCTGTGTGTGTGTCTGTGTGCCGACGCCGCGTGCTTGCCGCCGCGTGTTTGCCACTTCACGGGTCACCTGGGTCTACAGCGGGCGGTTTGCAGAGTCGCAAACTGCGAGCATCGCTTCTGTACTCGACGGTGACTTTCACCGTCGTGCTACACTGCCGCCACTCATTTATTTCACCATTTGCCTCCGCGGCTGACGGGTGACCGGGCGAAAGGGGGGCGGCTTGAGCAACAACTGCCAACGCGGTCGCGCACGCGCGGCCATTCCCGGACAAAGTTGGCATCTCAAATCATCCTCCTCTGCGCCAACTCTCTCGTGCAGTTCTTCTCCGTCGCATTTGGGGTCCGTGACGCCGAGGACCTGAGCGGTCGCGCGTTCGCCGCTTGTTGCAGAGGTTTACGGTTCGAATCCGGCAGGCTGCCCCGGTTATTACCGCAGTGGGTGTATTAACCAAAACATAGCATGCTCCGTCTGCTTCACAGTGAATATTAGAGATCCTGTAGCGTTATATGAAAAGAGAAGGCCGTTGTCTACCGGCGTCAATCTGCCAAATTAGAAAAAATACACCGCAAGTTACTCAATTGGGATTACACGCAGCACCATTGCTTCCTACTTTCAAACTCGTGGAGGTCATGTCTTTAAAACATAGCGCCTTCACGAGAGCCTTGCTCTAGGACGGGAACACAAAGTGTAGGAAACTATTGCGATTAAGCGGCGCATGCAGTCACGTCCGGGCACAGGTGAAATAATAACGGTCTCCCTTCTGCCTCCCTTTGACGATCCTTCTTCTCTGCAACATTTCCCCACGGGTTCGCATCCAGTCAACTCACCTTCTCCCACGATCTGCAGGAACTCGTATTTATTCATCACATTACTGCCCGGCAGCTTCATGAGTCATCCGAGGAGAAGGGGGAGACGGTGGCGGCAGCAGCGACGGCGGCGGAGCGACGGTGCCGAGCTGGTCTCTCTCGCACGGCGGCGGCGGCGAAGTCTCCCCCCCCCGCTTGCGACACGAGACGTGGAGCAGCTGTTGGGGGGGGCAGCGTGGCACACACACAAAGGGAGTCATTCTCGTGCCGGTTGGCCCCCCACCCCCATTCACGGGCGCCAATCGGCAGCATCAGCAGCAGCACGGTGGTGGTGGTGTTGATGGCGGTGTTGGCGTTGGCGGTGTTGGTGGTGTTGGTGGTCGTATTGGCGGTGTTGGCGGTGGTGGCGTTGGTGGTGTTGATGGCGGTGTTGGCGTTGGCGGTGTTGGTGGTGTTGTTAGTGGTGTTGGTGGTGTTGTTAGTGGTGTTGGCGGTGTTGGCGGTGGTGGTGTTGGCAGTGTTGGTGGTGGTGTTGGCGGTGATGGTGTTGGCGGTGTTCGTGGTGGTGATGGTGTTGGTGGTGTTGGTGGTGTTGGCGGTGTTGCCGGTGTTCGTGGTGGTGATGGTGTTGGTGGTGGTGTTGTTGTTGGTGGTGTTGGCGGTGGTGTTGTTGGTGGTGTTGGTGGTGGTGGCGTGCCAACAGTCGTGGCGGCGAGCTGCTCGCCGTTCGTGGAGGCGGCGGGAGCCAACGCAGCCAAAGAGACTTCAACTTGCAGCGCGTCGCGAAGTAAACCTGTTAAGCGTCATGGGTTATGTGCGCCTCTTTATTTTTATCTAAATATTAGTTTGTTTTTTATTGCGTTTCAACAGGAGCCCGGTACACAACACAAAACGAGACGCGGTGAGGAGGTTACAGAAGATCCGCGAGCCTCAGTCCTGAACGCCGTGCACACCTCTGGGTTTAAAGCGGAGGAGGAGGGGGGAGTGGGCTCGCCACATTTTTAGGATTCGTTTTAACCCGGGGCTGAGCACAAGCCCACATGCCCAAAAACGGCAAGCGGCCAGCAACACACTTTGTTTCAAGCAGGTAAGGCCGACGGAGCTATGCAGCTCTTTGTAAGAAGTCACCTGACCACAAATAACAGCTCGACACACAGTGGCTTATCACGTGGACATGTCGAGCAGCCAAATAGTTGTAAACGCGCGACGTTAACTCGAAATGTGAAGGGCAAAACCGGAGGACCCGGAGAAAAATCCACGCGACCACGGGGAGAGAGACACGCAAACTCCAAATACACAACAGCAGCAGGCATTATCAGGGTCGGGAACGAACCCACGACCTCCTGCGCACCAGGTGAGGTAGCTGACATCTCCTAGCCACCGTGATGATGATGATAGAGACACACAAACTCCAAATATACAGCAGCAGCAGCAGGCGTCAGGGTCGGGATCGAACCCACGACCTCCTGCAGACCAGGCGAGGTGGATAACATCTCCTAGCCACCTTGATGATTATGATGAGAGAGACACGCAAACTCCAAATATACAGCAGCAGGCATCGTCAGGGTCGGGATCGAACCCACGACCTCCTGCGCAATAGGCGAGGTAGTTAACATCAGCTAACATCAGCTAACATCTGGCCACTGCGGCGCCCATCAAATCAAACGGCACCATCAGCGTTGTAGCGGAGAGGGTTTAACACGTTTCTTAAACGGTGCAGGTCGCCCCGTTGCCGTTCTTATTATTCAGAGAGAACTTGGGGAGGAGAGAAAAGAGAGGGAAGGGAATTGGCAAAGCGGAGGAGCAGTGGATGAGGTAAGAAGCAGACAGATGTGGAGACCGGTGACGAGGTGAGGCCGGTGACGAGGTGAGACGAGATGAGTGACGTGGTGAGTGTGACGAGGTGAGTGACACGAGGTGAGTAACGAGGTGAGTAGCGAGGTGAGGCCCGTGACGAGGTGAGTGACACGAGGTGAGTGACGAGGTGAGTAACGAGGTGAGTAGCGAGGTGAGGCCCGTGACGAGGTGAGTGAGACGTGGTGAGTGAGCCCAGTGACGAGGTGAGAGTGACCAGTTACGAGGTGAGCTCAGTAACGAGGTGAGTAACGAGGTGAGTGTGACGAGGTGAGTTTAACGAGGTGAGTGTGACGAGGTGAGTTTAACGAGGTGAGTGTGACGAGGTAAGTAACGAGGTGAGTAACGAGGTGAGTGTGACGAGGTGAGTTTAACGAGGTGAGTGTGACGAGGTGAGTTTAACGAGGTGAGTGTGACGAGGTGAGTAACGAGGTGAGTGTGACGAGGTGAGTTTAACGAGGTGAGTGTGACGAGGTAAGTAACGAGGTGAGTGTGACGAGGCGAGTGACACGAGGTGAGTGTGACGAGGTAAGTAACGAGGTGAGTGTGACGAGGCGAGTGACACGAGGTGAGTGTGACAAGGTGAGCCCAGTGACGAGGTGACGATGTCGCGATGTTTCTCGCTGCGAGGCGGCCGCCTCACAACGAGAAGCTTCGCTTTTAAATGCGGCGGCAGCAGCCTGCAGCAAATCCCCGTGAAGAGGCTTTCTTGTACAAAGTTCCCACTTTATAAACAACAACAGCAACAAACACTCCAACAACAACAACAACAGCAGCAGCCAAGGGTGGCGCGAACCGGACGGCTGTCAAACTTTACACTCGCGTAGCGGGAGGCAAACAACATCACATTAAAATATAACGCCGCGTTAAATTACAAAACGAAAAACGTCCACAAGACGTGCTGGGTACTTCACGCGCTCGCCGCCTAAAAAGAGGAATTAATGTTTGCGAGTTTAATTGTTTAAAATCGTCGTTAAGATGTTTTGTTGTTTTACCTCAGCGAGCGCGGAGCCCGCGGCTGAGGGAGTTCGCGTGTGGAGACGGGGGGGGGGCTACCCCGCGGTTCCCGCCATGCCCCGCGCGCGCCCCAACTCACGTGACCGGTGACGTCACCCGTGTGAACAGGAGGCGGGAAAGCGGGCATGGCGAGGCACGTGTCTCTGTCATTATGTCAAGATCGATACATTATGTCAAGATCGATACATTATGTCAAGATCGATACATTATGTCAAGATCGATACATTATGTCAAGATCGATACATTATGTCAAGATTGATACATTATGTCAATAATGATACATTATGTCAAGTTCGATACATTAAGTCAGGATTGATACATTATGTCAATAATGATACATTATGTCAAGATCGATACATTAATGTCAAGATCGATACATTATGTCAAGATCGATACATTATGTCAAGATCGATACATTATGTCAAGATCAATACATTATGTTCAAGCTTTAGGCCCATTTGTGGAGCTGATAGGATGCTTCAATTCAGTAATTGTCACTGCACGTGATGTCTATGCTGAGTGACGGGTGCGTGAAGGACGCGGTTTGCGGTCTCGGCTTTTTTATTATTTTATTTTGTGACTTTAAATGCCCCACGAGCACGCTCCTGCTTATTGTGTCCAGTACAGGATGTGCTGGAGTGTGTTGAACGAGTTTACTGTGCACGCACAGTGGGTTAGGGGCAGGCCATAAATGACGTCACGTGATTTTGGACGATTTTTGACCCCCCCCCCCCCGTCGTCACACAGCGTCACAAAAAGTCAGACCCCCCCCCCCTCAAATATGACGTCACAAAGCTGTACCCCGCCCCCCCCCCAAAACCATATTTCCATTTTAAAAATAAACATGCTTCAAATCGCTTTAAACTAATTATAGATTTGAAGCTTTCGTGACTGCAAGGATTCATATTCTTAGGGGGGTTTTTTTCGGTAAAGTCACGTAGGTAAAAATGTTTAATTAATAAAAGTAAAATAAACTATTGTCAGTGTCGTGCGTATTTAATGTGGCGATGCACTCTGATGTTGTAGGAGTGTTGTTATAATAATTCTATATTTATTTAAAGTTGCGCATTTTTATGTGACGTCACATTTCTTACCCCCCCCCCCCCCTCGTCACACATCGTCACAAATGTCTGACCCCCCCCCCCCCCAGGTACGTGACGTCATTTATGGACGACCCCTTTGTCACTCACACTACTTGGCGAAGGCCTGCGACCCACATCTAACAAGAGCGACGTTTCGGGCAATGGCCTATTGAGAGGCCAGAGTGGACGATACGAGTCAGTTTGTTTGTATTGAAATAAGATGAATAGTTATCGATGTTCACTAACACAGTAGATCATCGAATATTCGGCGGCGCCGGATTTTCAAAAACGCCGGATAATCACTAATCACATCATAATTTAAAACAGCTTATTTTTGCACATTCTTGTATGGCATGTGTTTAGGTGTTACGTGTTTTTATGTTTATTATATAAAATTAGCATAAACGTTCAAATAGACAAAAATAAATATCCTACTTTAAAAGGTTAGAACGTTTACAGTGCCGTTCTTACCTCTCCAATCTCGAAGACTGCATGGGGTGCTGTATACACGTGCAGTATTGTCATTAAGTTGTATGTAGTGTATAATGTACCGTATGTAATATTTGACACTGAAATAAAGCGTTGCTACCTTTTTTTGTCACGAGCGCGGTGCCGATCGCCGGACAGGTCATGCAGCCGGTGTCGCTGGATCGGCCCGGGACCGCCGGATAATCGATGATCACCTCTAGTTATCGATACATCTCCAGTGACCCTCGATATCATGTGGCCAGGATATCCGTATAGACGTGTCCTTTACGTAACTTGTGAATCTTGTGTTATATTCCTCTAAAATACTTTAAAATGTTACCGCATTCATTCAAGAAGATGAACCATCACAGTTGAACAGATCACGTGCACCAGCGTGAACGCAGCCTTGCAGTGAATGCAGCAGCAGCGGCCTCTCGTGGCCAGCAGACGTCGCTAGAAGAAAATAATTAAATCTTGACTTAAAGCTTTCGTGAAGAATAATAATAGATACTATTAGGTTTTTTTTCGGTAAAGTCACGTAGGTAAAAAGTGAAATAAATAAAATTATAATAAATGAAAATAAATCACTTGACACAGTAAATTTAGCTGTGACGGTCCCACTTGAAGACGGGGACTTGTGTTGCCTCCGAAACGTCGTGATTTAATTGATTTATTTTCATTTATTGTTATTTTATTTCTATTACTTTTTACCTACGTGACTTTACCGAAAAAACCTAATAGTATGAATCCTTGCAGTCACGAAAGCTTCAAATCTAGAATAAGAATAAAATTGGTCAGATAACAATGATCTTTATTTGTATAATCGTGTTCAATCATAATAAACTGAATCGTAGGCTTGAACTCCTCGTTGATGTTTTATTTTCACGATGCACGGCATTGTGTGTGTTCATATCGATGAACGCTATAACATTTGCTTGTAGGAAACAACAAGAAAAACCTTGGCCGTTTCGTATGCGAGCGATGGGCTCGGTTCTTTTGTTTGGCTCGTTTAACGGGCTAAGGGATATTCATCTCGTCCTTGTATTTTTAACACGTAGGCTTTCACCATCAACATTCAACAAAATAATACAACCACTCGTGATAAACGTTTTTTTTGTTAGATCGCATAAATATAAATGGGTTTACTCTCCAACACACAAGCGGTTAGTGCTGAACTAGTAACTAATTGGCGCGTTCTGTTTACGTGACAAACCTTACTAATCGGCTGTCGGGTGGTGCTGGTGTCTAACGACACATTTAAATTTACGCGATCTAACCCCCAAAAAACCCTTATTATGGATCACGCATGAGCACTGCAAACAGTAAATGCGGCGTTTTTATAAGTCGAGTCAGAGGCAAAAATTTTCGCTAAAAATTGGACGAAAAATACTTTTTTCCCACACACGAATTCGGGTTAAATCGTGTAAATGTGCCCTACACAAATACATCGTGTGGCGCCCGCAGATCCCTCGGGTTACAAAGCCCCGCGAGGGCTGACTACGAATAGAATCGGCGAGCCCGTGATGGCAGTCTTCCAATTCGCCTTCAGCGGCGACTTGAGCCACGCGTGCACACGAGCGTAGAGGGTCCCCTGGCGGTGGAGGAGGAGGCGGCTGCTCAGGGGAATAAAACTCTTTGGTACTTTCGGTAAAGTCACGTGGGTATAAAATAAATTAAATTACGACGTTTCGGGCGCAACACAAGCGTCCGTCATCAGGTGGGAAAGCGTGGCCTGCTGCTGTTACATGCTAATTTCTCACATTAACATCACTAGCCCCGGCCACTTCTTTATGACCCTTGGGCTACACCGATTTAAAACCTTTTAAAACAGTCTGCATCAGCAGCAGGCCACGCTTTCCCACCTGATGACGGACGCTTGTGTTGCGCCCGAAACGTCGTGATTTATTTTTTACCTCGTAACTTTACCGAAAGAACCAAAGAGTTTGGATTCCTGCAGTCACGAAAGCTTCAAAGTCAAGAGGGGTAATAATTCAAATGTTTCATGCACTGGCTTCCAGTTTCACGTAGAACACAGTTTAAACCATATTGTTAGCTTCTTACACAGCAGTGAACCACCTTGACCCAGCCTACATCACTGACATGCCGCACCCATGTGTCCCGGCAAGGTCGCTATGATCTGGGATGCAGATCTTCTCTGCAATCACAGGTCGAGGCTTCGGTCTATGGGTGACCGAGATTTTTCCCGTGTCGCCCCCAGGCTATGGAATGCTCTTACATGAGGTATCAGCGATATCCGAGTCCTGTGGACATGTTTTAAATCCACCTTAAAACCGATTTATACGCTTCCTCTTGATAAACTTTGTTTTATTTAGTAAATTATTCTTAAAGTGTATTTATATTATTTTTATGCTGCGTGTCTGCTGCTTCTGTGTCCTGTACCGCCCTTTGAGGTCCTTGGTGAAAATCACTAAATAAATATAATTATTATTAGGGTCCTAATTCGCAATTCATGAAAAGCAGGAAACAAAAACAGAACCAGGGCAACCGACCAAACTCAAGAAGGCCACTTTAAAGAGATGGAGTATTCAAAGCAGACTTCAGTATATCTACCGACTCCGATTGCCTGACTTCAAGTGGCAAGGCGCTCCATCGCTTGGGTGCCACGCTCACAAAAGCCCGACCGCCAAAAGCGCGCAACCTGTAGACCTGGCGGTGCTGAGCAGTTGGAGATCAGAGATCTTAAGGACCTTGATGGAATATATACATGTATTAGTTCCTGCAAGTAATGTGGGGTGAACCATTTTAAGCCTTATAGGTTAATAGTATTATCTTAATAAGAGCATTATCTTAATAATTATCTTAATGATGCTATTCGAGTGCTTTTCAGGAGGTGGTCACAGGGTGCTTGTTTGACCACCCTCCACCAGGCTGACCAGGACAGGGTTAGTGAGGGGAGGCCCAAAGACTGTCTAAGATGCTGCTCGCCACTGATGTTAGCCGTGGAAAACTAACAGCCATGACAAGGAAAACAACCGCTTCTCCAAATCCCGGGACAAAATCGGCATAACGATGTCCTGAAGCCTCCCGCAGCCCGCAACACCATCGGACGCGACGAGGTTGGACGTTGGTTTCCAGTCTCCATGGCAGCCAGGCCACACGCGGCGTGGCGCGATGGACGCAATGATCCATCGGGGGGGTTGGTGGTTCATGTCGAGATCGCCGCGATGTGCTGCCAAGAGGGCCAGGTTGGTGAACCCATCTGTGCGGACTTCTCGGTGGTTTCATGACACGGGCAGCAGGCGGGTGCGATGGTGACGCTTGTGCCTCGCAGCAACAACGGTCGAGGTTCAATTCCCGACTCGCGCGACATTCTGTGTGGAGTTTGTGTGTTCCGCAGAGTGTGAGTGACCGTGAGTTCGTGGCTTGTTGGTTCTTCAGAGCGTGTGTGTGTGTGAGCGGCTGTGTGGACTTTGTGTGTTCTGCCCTCCTGTCCTGCCATAGCTAAACACACAAACAGTCTCATTCGTCCATAAGAGGTTTTTTTTTCCACCCAAAAACGGCAGAACGCACATAATGTGCAAACGTAATGTGCATACATAATTTGCATGCGTAATGTACACACACTATGTGCATAAATTGTGTACATACATTACGTACACATTGTGTACACACATTGTGTATACACATTATGCACATACATTGCATACATATATAATGTACATGCATTATGTACATACATTATGTACATACATTATGTACCTTTATTATGTGCACCAAATATGTGTGTTGCATAACTGTGAATAACCAAACCAATAACAGAGAATTTATATTAAAACATTAACCCCCCCCCCCCCTCTGGTCCTCGCACTTGATTGGCTCACAAGTGGCAACGTCACATTGATCTCTTGACTATTTAAGACCGAGGAGGCAGGGACATCTTCTTCTCTACAACTCTGGCAGTCGCCTGATGAGGCTGGTCGATTGTGATAACCGGAGAAAAGTCACTGGTACTCGAAGTGTAAATGTTGTTGTGGGTTTACTCTCCAACGCACAACCGGTTCGTGTGTGCTGCACCGGTAACGAATTTGCACGTTTTGTTCACGTGATAACCCTCACTAATTGGCTGTGTCATGTGGTGGCGGTGTTTAACGACGCATTTATATGCATGCGATCTAACCCAACAAAACCTCTGTTACGGCTATTGGTCACGAAAGCCTACTGACTTAAAGCTTTCCTCTGACTACATGTTCAACTAATGTCATTCGTGTTGGCCAAACATCCCAAAGTGACAAGGCCACCCCGAGTTCAGGACCATGTGTGGCTTCCCTGGATGGAACACCTCCCCGTGCCGTGGTGGGGTTGTTTGACCATACTTCACCACGCTCGGCCAGCGTGGGTTGGCCCAGGGCCTGGTCCAGATGTCACTCGCCACTGACGCGGCCGGGAATCGAACTCAGGTTCGCCTGGCTCCTAGCGCGGCACGCCAAATCACTGTCCGCCATCGCTCCGCCGATAATAAGTCAACGATGGAGCCTCCACGCCGGTTATTTACCCCAGAAGGCCTCACTGAGCCTCAAAGACTCCCTTTGTCAGGAGGGTGCTGCTACATCGGGATGTTTGCCCACGAGCTCCGTGAGTGATGAGAATGAGAATCTTTATTTAGACTGGAGGAGGAATCCGATGAGCTATGAAGCTCTTTGATCACAGATGACCAGTAGGGGCACGGGGTCAGAAAGTCACAACAACAATTAGTTTGATCATCTTGGTTCTTTCGGTAAAGTCACGTAGAAGGGAAATAATAAAATAATAAAAAGAAAACAATAAAAGAATTCTCACGACGTTTTGGCCACAATGCAAGCAGCCGTCCTCAGGTGAAGAACAGGTCTGTCGGGAAGACAGCGTCTGAATTCAGACGCTGTCTTCCCGACAGACTTGTGTGGCCGAAACGTCGTGAGAATTATTTAATGTTTATTTTTATTATTTTATTATTTCCCTTCTACGTGACTTTACCGAAAGAACCAAGATGATGAATCCATGCAGTCACGAAAGCTTTAAATCGAAACATTTAGTTTGCCTCCGAGGTTGGGGAGCAACAGGAGACAACCCAGCACGGCGGCGCACACTGCAGTGCCGTCGAGCCGACAACATCCGGCAAGCCCTGATCAGCTGACCGCTCTGAGAGCGATCGCCGACGGCGCGCCTCAGGGTCGGAGACAGCCCCGGTTGACATTGGACACCTGCTCAAAACGAGCTCCACGCCTCATCGGATTCCTTCCGGATGAACACAGACAACAAGAATTCTGATTCTGACAATGGACAGTGCGCACGATGGAGGCCGATCTTCACCACCGCCACCGCCACCAGCAGCACCGCGGCCTTGGCCGTCACTCGGCGTGGCGGTGAGTGGACCGTGGGGCACCGCTACGCCCTGAGGGCTTCACGCCTCATGATGATGATGAGCATCATCACCACGAAGCGCCTCCGGTTGGCATGGCTGGCTACGTACGGTGCGTGATGAAGTACTCACCAGTCTCAACTCTGCTTAGCTTCCAAGTTCCAACAAGATTGGGCACATCCACAGTGTTTGGTCATGGGTTTATTCTTGTTACGGTTATTACCACTGGGCTTGTTTCCGCAGGTTCTGTCAATAGCGACGGACGCTGGGGTGCCTCTTACTTTCCACAGCTTCTTATAATCGGGAGAATACGGCGAATATCCTAAGCCAAACGCAGAAGACTAAAATATTAAATTTTTGTTGCTGGATACTCAGTGTTATTTTCGAATTGCTTATGTCTGAAAAGTACAGACAATGGCTATTATTCCCCACAAACTTTGCTTTTGTGACCAGGACAGTGATATTTCGAAATGTACCTATTTTCAATGAGAAAACGTGGTGTGCATTTGTGTCATTCCTTCATGTAAAAGCAAAGTTTGTGGGGAATAATATCCATTTTCTATACTTGTATAGGACTTCATTTGCCAGTAGCAAGATATAGTAATAGATTTTTACACTTTTAACTGGCAACAAAACTGACACCTTTATACAAGGGATCGTGTTTGCATTAACCACAGCACTTGCGGCCAAAATGCAAACAAAAAGACAACTCTAGGCTCTAAGAAAAGCTGTCTCGGGTGTGGACCAATCAATTTCAAGGACAGTGCATTCATTACCAGAGTTGTCTTTTTGTTTGAATTTTGACCACAAGTGTTGTGGTTAATGCAAACATGATGCCTTGTATAAAGGTGTCAGTTTTGTTGCCAGTTAAAAGGATAGAAAGATATGACTCTTTTCTATACTTTTGAGGCATAAGCAATTAGAAAATAACACTTACTACCCAGGAACAAAAATCGTGTTACATAGTGAATAAGCCGTCCGCTGTAAAATGATGGAAACATCACAGCACACGACAGAATTAGCGAGCGGCTTTCACTGAGAAACCGCCGGGGTTTGTGAAAATACGGTGAACGTTACCCTCGTGTTATTAAAACAAAACCGGGGCGGTTCTGAGTGACGTGAGATTAGTTGTGGGCACAGTGGCGGTGCAGCAGCACTGTCACACGAAGCCGGCGACCCGGAGTTTCATTCCCGGCCGGGGCCAACAGCCGTGGCAAGCGATGTGTCTGACCCGGTCCTGCGCCTCCCCCTTCTCCTTCCAACCAACTGGCGCCGACCAGAATGGTGAAGTATGGTCAAACAACCTCCATCGGGAGGCCTTCATCCAGCAGTGGATTGAGGAGGGGCTGTGAATTTCTCGGGATGCTGCCACCACAGTGGTGCAATGGTCAGCACCGCTGGACCTGCAATCCATTGGATGCCAGTTCGATTCCTGCTCCCAGTGCGGCGCCTGAAACAATGGCGTGAGTTTGTCATCCTCCCCGCCACCTCTGTCCACGGCAGTTGATGATTGGCGGGTCGCGTGTGGTGGTGGTGAGGTAAATTGTGGGGAGCGGTGGTGTAGCAGTTAGTGCGCTGTGCTACAAACCCGGCGACCCGAGTTCGATTCCTGCTCACGGCCAACACCGGTGACGATTATCTGAACCGGTCCTGGGCCTCTCCGATGTCGACTAAGCCTCAAATGAGCACCTGGTGCGGTGTGTAAAAACACTGCCACTAGGGAGACAAAGGCAGCCGGGCGTGGTAACAGCACTTGCCCCAACAGTCTGTTAAGGCTATACGGGGGATCTTTGTACTCCCAGTTCTTTCCAAGACGTCAGGCCAGCGACGAAGAGCAGAACAGATGCCGCTCCCCTCGAGAGCTGTCTCCAGCGGAGGCCGTCCGGCCGTCAGCGGCGTGGGCACAAGCGGTTGCACGGCTGCGCCTGGACCACCACCGCACGTGCACATCGGCGCGTTGATTTGTTGAACCGCTCTGACCGCACAAACAGGCGTGCGGGCTTGCGGACGGTTGCCATTGAAACCTGAGGGCCGCGCCGCGTGGAGGAGCGGAGCGCACGCGCGAGTGGACGTGCGCGTGACACGGGCACTCGTGCGCTCGCTGTGATTGGGACCCGGGGGAGTGGAAGTCTCCGCGCAAATTGAGGTGCCAATTACCCCCCCACGGCCTGAGGGCGCAGCCACCGCAGTCGCTCGCTCTAGAGAGGCCCTCTCGAGGGGACTTTGGCCTACTCTTCCACGTTGGACAGACGTCATGGGACCTGCACATTGACCGACTGCGGTGAAGCCAATTATAACAATGCCAGGTGGACAGAGGCAGTGTTGGGAGGGGATTTAAGAAACTTTCCCAATTGTCTCAACTGCTGGATGAGGGACTCTTAAATCTGTCAGTCATGGGGCTTGTTTGACCATACTTCACCGTGCTGGTCAAGTGTTTGTTTGTTCAACCAGGTGGGAATGCAAGAGACCAGAACGAGTCTCATTTGCGAGAGGAGCCTGGGGAATTAGTCTGCCGCCAGGAAAGGGGGGCGGGGGGGGGCGACGTTTCTGCATTTTGCGTGATCCCAATTGAGTGTTGAGTCATCTACGGCGTTAATTGTCGAATTTGGCAAACTAAGGACCGTGACTCCGGGGCACGATGGCCCGCTCTTGCGAATTACGTCACGGGATCTTTAGCGTCCGCTGTGAGCGAAGCAGACGGCGGCGTAGCAGTCGTCGCATTATTACGGCGATCACGCACGACGCGGTGATGACCGGGGCGGTCACCGGATCGGCGAATGCGCTAGGGCCGGGCCACCGCGCCACCGCCCAGCGTGTGTTGGTGAATCAGGGTGGCGGTAAAACCCGGGACCGGCTCAGATAGCACTCGCCACTGATGTTAGCCGTGACTGGAAATAGAACTCGCTTCGCCGGGTTCACAGCGCACTCGCACGCGCGCGCGGCCACACGCACGCACGCACACACGCAAACTCAATCACACAAACACGTGATTTCACACGGACACACACAACCACAATCTCACACACACACACACACCGTCTCTCCCTCACACACACACACCGTCTCGCTCTCACACACACACACCGTCGCTCTCTCTCTCCCTCACACACACAGTCTCGCTCTCACACACACACACACCGTCTCTCCCTCACACACACACACACACCGTCTCTCCCTCACACACACACACACCGTCTCTCCCTCACACACACACACACACACCGTCTCGCTCTCTCCCTCACACACACACACACCGTCTCTCCCTCACACACACACACACACCGTCTCGCTCTCTCCCTCACACACACACACACACCGTCTCTCCATCACACACACACACACACCGTCTCGCTCTCTCCCTCACACACACACACACCGTCTCTCCATCACACACACACACACACCGTCTCGCTCTATCTCCCTCACACACAGACACGCATGCTCTCTCCCGCTTTCTCTCCCTCACACACACACACGCATGCTCTCTCCCGCTCTCTCTCGCTGTGCACGGCCAGCATGCTGCTGACCGTGCTCTTCGTGGTGCTCACCGTCCTCGGCGTGTGCGGCAACTCGGCCGTGCTCGTCGCCTTCTCGCAACTGCGCCGCCCGTCTCCCGCCGACGTGGTGGTCATCGGCATGTCAGCGACGCACCTGCTCTCGTCCGTCTTCAAGAACACGCCGTACGTGCTGACGTCGCTCGACTCGCTGGCGCTGGGCGACGGCGCCTGCAAGGCGCTCCTCTACTCCGTCAACGTCCTGCGCTCCTGCAGCCTCGCCTTCACGGTGATCCTCAGCGCGCTGCAGCTCGCGCGAGTCGAGCCCCGCGGCCGCCCGCGCCGCCTCTCCGCCGCGCTCTCGCGCCTCCTGTCGGGCCGGCGCGGCGGCGGCGCCGCCCGCCTCGTGGGGGCCACGTGCGCCCTCTGCGCGTTGGCGTCGGCGCCGCTGCTGGCGCTCGACGTGCGCTCGCGAGGCGACGGGCGGGCCGGCGGCTTCCTGCACATCTCGGGCTGCGTCGTGACGCCCTCCGACGGCGCCGCGGCCTTCCTGGAGGCCTCCAACGTCCTCGACGTGGCGGCGCTCGCCACCCTCCTCGCCGCCAACGCGCTGGTGCTCGGCTTCGTGCTGCGGCACCGGCGGCTGGTGGCGCGGAACCGGGGCTGGGTCGGGGGCGCCGGCAACGCGGCCGCCCTCAACGCGGCCAAGGTGATCGCGTGCCTCATGGTCGTGGCGTTCGTCTGCTGGGGCGTCAACGTGTGCATGCGCTTCACCGTCGTGCAGAGGCTGAGCGCCGAGTGGACGAGCACGCAGGCCGACGTGCGCGCCTTCTTCACCTCCGTCTACTACTCCCTCAGCCCCTTCATCATCATCTTCGGGCGCTCGTCCATCCGCGGGAAAGTCGCCCGCGCCGTCCGCAGGTGCCCGTGCGTCGGCCCGCAGCGCACGCGGGTCCTGCGGCTGGCGGTGGTGGACGGGGGGAGGGGCAACAGGGTGTGGCCGGGGGTGGCGGCGTGCTGAGGGCCCGGGTTTCCGGGCGAAGGGCGGGCCGTGCGGTGGACCCGGCGCTATACGGCAAACGGTGGTTTCGCTGTGCAGACCGGAGACGGTTCGGGGGTGAGGGTCATGCGAGGTCGGGTGACGCTTGGCAGCCGGCCTTGCTCGTGGTGCGCCAGGCAGCTGCACGTCGCTTGATGGGCCGCAAGGCAACGGGACAGCGGAGCCGGGAGGGTTTTTGTCTGCGGTGTCACAAGAGGAAATGTCTCCCTGGTAAAGACGAGCATGGGGTGGCGATCATCTCTACTGGTGGGCCCCTCGGGCCGGTGGTGGACATTCCACATTCCCATGGCGGGGGCCATGACATCCACAGGACAACCACTGTTGAATTCACGCAAAGTGGTCACTTGATCTAGCCGAGACGGACGGTGATAAAACTGCCGATGATGATGATAATGCTGCTGCTGATGATGATGTAAACGACACAGATGATTATGATCTTGCTATTAAAGATGATAATGAAATCGCTGATGATGATATTGAAAGCTCTCTCGATTTTCACTCGCGACCGTCCGCGAGCCAAGCTCTCTCGCCACAGTGACCACCGGTCAGATCTTTATCACCTCGGGCTGCACAATGGCTGAGTCAGAGGCAATGAGCCGGCACCACCGAGACCCTATGTCCATTTCCTGGGTCTGGGTGTCTCTCTCCGTTTCTCTCAGGAGGTTCACAATGGCCATGTCATTGAGATTCTAGGTTCAGTCTCTTCTCTATTTTTCTCATCGGGTTCATAACGGCCAGGTCTGGTCATGTCTCTCTCCCTCTCTCCGAAGGGGTTCACAATGGCCGAGTTAAAGCCACGGAGGGGTCACCGCCATGGAGGCGAGGTTCTATTCCTGGTGCTGGGCCCCTCTGTTTCTGTCTCAGGGTGGGTCACAATGGCCCCGTCGGAGCCAGCCACTCGCCACACTCCTCACTCTCACACCTCGCTGTGAGAGAAGCTGGGCCCCTCCAGCCTCTGGTGGATCCGGTGAAGCGGCGACCGCTCTGCCACCGATCCCTCCGATCCGGCGCTCGTGGCCGCCGCGGAGGATTCCGAGCCGGCGCCGCCAGGCCTTGCCGGCGCCCGCGGGAGCGGCGGCAGCCTCCTGGCGCCGCAACTGCCCTTCCTCGGCCGAAACTGCTGCTGCTGCTGCTGGTGAAGTGTGGCGCCGTCGACAGCGCCCAGCGAGTGTCTCGAATCGCCTCGGAACGCCGGGTAGATCGCCGGCGCCACAACCCGCTCGTCGTCGTCACCGTCGCCATCGCCGGCAAAGTACAGCGGTCGGCGGCACTCTCCGCAGAGCGGCGCCAGCCCTGGCGGGGGCGGCCGCCGCCGGTGGCGGCGGGAACAGCTGCAGCGGCACCGCCCAACCGCCGGCCTGCCCGCTGACCGCCAACCACTGCGCCATCGGCACAGCCCCCCACGCTTCCCGCCACATCGTCGGCGGCGGCGGCGGAGGCGCCGCCAGCGCCCAGCGGGCGTCGGCCAGCGCCGGGAGGCTCAGCTTGCGGTGGCCGGCGCCACGGGACCTGCCCGGCGACGGCAGCGTGAACCCGGCGGCGGCGAACCCGGCGGCTCCGGCGGTGCCGTTCTCGGAGTCTTCGTCCGACGCGAGGCACGGGGCGCCGTCGGGGCCCGGCGGCGGCGGCTGGCGGGGCACGAGCCGGTACGTGCGCACGCCCTCCGTCTGCCCGTCGCGTCGCATGCGTCGCAGCTGCCGGTGAGCGAGCGAGAAGCTGAACGGCGGCGGCGGCGAGATCGCCGAGATCGGCGGCGGCGGCGGTGACGCCGGGGAAAGGGGAGACGGCGCCGGGAGGACGCCGGACGTGGAAGCCAAGTGGTTTGTGGCAAGGAGCCGGGACGAGCCGTTGGGTAGTTCCACGGTGCGTCTGCCAGGCGCCTGCAACAATTACAACTGGTTGAAGAGAACTCCGTTCCAACCGCGGGGGGCTACACTCACACACAACGTGAACCACAGCCCTCACTAACACAGGGTACACTCACACACAACGTGAGTCACACCCCTCACTAACACAGGGTACACTCACACACAACGTGAGTCACACCCCTCACTAACACAGGATACACAACGACGGTGGTGAGTCGCGCGAGCGAGTAGCGGCAGTAGCGACGGTGATGATGAGAGACCTCGGTCACGACAAGCGACGACGCTTCGGTGAAGGAGGTGGACGCCGGCACCGTCCGGCCGGAGGAGCGAGCGGCGACGGTCGACTCGGATTCGCGGAGCGCGTCCAGCTCCATCTCCTCCCCGGCTGCGCACGTTCACCAGACAGACGCGTCAACCCCCGCCGTGTCCTGCCGGGGCCTTCCCTCGGGTCGCCTTAAATGAGTACCCGGTATGGAGAGACAAAGGTGGCCAGGGCGCAGTGCTGGGCACACCACCCCACCGTGCGCGTCAGCATGTCGCCGTGTCACTGCGGGTACCTCGCAGCGTCAGCGTGTGTCACTGAACCGGTAGTATCGTGCGGAACGAACCCGGCGACCCGGGTTCGATTCCCGCCCGCGGCCAACATCGGTGACGATTGTCTTAACCGCTTCTGCGCCTCCCCTAGGTCGACTCAGCCTCAAAAGAGTACCTTGTGCGGTGTGTAAACATCGCCAGTGGGGACGTGCTGCCCACCACCCACCCGTGTGCTACAGTGACAGCAGCCTTCGTAGGTGTTCGTAAGCAGCACTTGCCCCAACAGCCTGCAAGGCGACACGAGGGGTCTGTGTGTTTGCGTGCGAGCGAGCGTGCGTGTGAGCGAGCGAGCGTGCGTGTGAGCGTGCGAGCGTGCGTGCGTGCGGTCTTAGCGGACGCACACGGCAGCAGCTGGGAGGATCGACCCGGGGCGACGCCCCTGCAGGCCCCTGCGACACTCAGGGCCACCCCCCCTGCTTCAGCGCCGCAGCCACCGCCGCCGCCACCGCAGCCACTGCAGCCACTACAGCCGCCACAGCCACCGCCGCCCGGCTTGAAGCGAGCGACGCACGCGCGGGCGGCGGCGAGGAGGGTCGAGACGACGACGCACGCACACACGCACATCCCAAACACCGCCACGGCGCTCTCCACCACGCCGTGTGGCGTCGACGGCGGTGCCGCTGGCGGTGCCGGCGGCGGCGGTGGTGGAGTGTCACGAGACGCTGTGCGGACAGGTGGAACGCACGGGAGCGGTGGAACACAGAGAGAGAAACAACATAGAAACATAGACACGGGGAGACACGTAGACATGCTTAGGATTCAGAGTAAAGCACCCGTTGATGCACTCCGGTCAATCGCGAGACATTCGCCTGCCTATCACTCTTCTAACTCGACTACCATCATTACTGTTATCGTGAACTTGAGTTGTCGATTCCTCCACCAGGGGACAACAACAGTGGTTGTGTATTCAAACACCACACTTCAGGTCACAACAACTCACTCACCCGCTCACTAACCCACTCACTCACTCATTCAGCCACTCACCCACTCATTCATTCAGCCACTCACTCACTCATTCAGCCACTCACTCATTCAGCCACTCAGCCACTCACTCATTCACCCGCTCACTAACCCACTCACTTATTCAGCCACTCACCCACTCACTCATTCAACCACTCACTCACTCATTCAGCCACTTACTCACCCACCCACGCACTCACTCTCCACACTGCAGTTCACCTCATTTCTCTTTCTGCATCTTCGCTCACATCGCTTCCCTCTGGAATTCCCTCCCATCGTCCCTTTTCCCCCAAACTCTTAACACCAATAACTTTGCTCAGTTTAATACACGAGTCAACTCTTATCTCTTACAACTTTGATGCGAATGTTGTTTGCCCCCTTGACGCTTTGGGCCTTTTGTGCCTTTTCAGCCATTGTAGTAAAAAGAAGTAGAATGTCCATTGCATGCGCATGCACGCCTTTGTGTCAATCCACTGCTGGATGAGGGCCTCCCCTCGCTGCGCGGGTCACGGGGGTCACTTGACCGTTCGTGTCGGGGTGGTGACGATGATTACACACGTACAGTAGACTCTCGATTATCCGCGTGCGGTTAATTCGATTTGCGGATTAACCGCGCAGCTGAGATTTTGACAAATTAGTCAAATAACTCATGGATTTTCCCTTAAGCCCCAAATTAATAATCTAAAAACAGTTCTACATTATTCTTGGAAATGTTTTTTGCACGTGCTTAAACCGAACAAATATGTTGCTCCGGCTAATCCAAAATCCACGTGATCGCCCCTACAGTACAGTAGTTGCATATATTGACAACAGTGGGCGTAGCTCTGCAATCCACTTAGTCGGCCGAGTCTTCTTCGTGGGAGTAGGAAAATGTTGTTATCACTGAGCACGCACATTGATCGGTCGATCGTTTGTCTTCTAAATCGAAGGAGTATTTTGTTCACTTCACTTACATTCGTGGTTTTTGGATTATCTGCAATTTGAATTTTCCGCGGCCGTCCTCCCCATCATTAGCACGGATTATAATCGAGAGTCTACTCCATGTTGAACTTCTTTCGCACCGTACGTAGCCAACCGCATTAATCGGAGGTGACTATGATGACGCTGACGCTGACGCCACCGCCCCCGACGCCGCACACCTTCACTCACCGTTGCGATCGTTCACTGCGGTGCTCACCCTCCTCCCTTCGTTCTCATCACCGACTCCGACTCCGCCGCCGCCGCCGCGATCGCGACACTCCAGCAGCGAGCACGGGGAGCTCTCGCGCTCCGACCACGGCGCATCCGGCTCTCCTCCGCAGGTCGCTGCAGCTCCCCGCTGCCCTGCCAGGGCGGCCGCCCCTTCCGCCGTGGCGACGGCGATGACGGCCGCGGCGGCGCACGTCCGGCGGCGCTCTCGCGTGCCCTCCCCGCACGACGCCGAGCAGGGAGACCACGGCGACCAGGGACCCCAGATCCCCCCCTCTAGGGGACCGGGGGGCGCTGTGAATGAGTGGGAGAGAAGACGCGGGCGTTTGGGATAGAGCACGAGCCAGGGCCACGCCTTTACGTCGGATTGCCTCTCTCGCACGCACGCAGCAAAGAAAAAAATCCCCCGTATAGCCTTTGACAAACCGTTGGGGCAAGCGCTGTTAGCGAGTAGCACCTATGAAGGCCGGAACGGTACACGCGGGGGTGGGTGGCCAACACTACGCCCGACCGCCTTTGTCTCCCCAGTGGGGATGTTTACACACAAAAAAAACAAAGATCCCCCATATAGCCTTAACAGACTGTAGGGGCAAGTGCTGTTAGCGAGCACCTATGAAGGCTGGAACGGTACACGAGGGGGTGGGTGGCCAGCACCACGCCCGACCGCCTTTGTCTCCCTAGCGGCGATGTTTACACATCGCACTAGGTACTCATTTGAGGCTGAGTCGACCTAGGGGAGGCCCAGGACCGGTTGAGATAATCGTCACTGGTGCTTTCCGTGAGCGGGAATCGAACCCGGGTCGCCAGGTTCGCAGTGCAGCGCAGCGAACCGCTACACTACCGCTCCCCACTCAGTCACACACTCGTGCACAAGTGTGCGTGATTGCAGCACTCACTGCCATTTGCCGGGAGATGCAATGAGGCCTGCACACACTTGGTGGCCCTCACGTCTCCTCCTCCATCTCCTCCTCCATCTCCTCCTCCACCTCCTCCTTCCCCTCTTCCTGCATCGTCTCCCACCTCCGACGCGATTGCCCGGAAGCAGTAGAAGGTGGACGCAGCCTCGGCGGCGAACAGCGAGCAGTCAAACTCGGCCTCCCAGCTGCCCCCTCTCATCTCCTGCTCTCCCAACAACACCTCTTCAGCCACCCCGTTCTCATCACCATCACCATCGTCATCGCTCACGCCGCCTCGTCGCCCAAAGGGCCACGTCCTCGCAAACGCCGTCACCCTGCCGCGCGCCGGCGGGCGACACGGCTCGGGCTCAAGCGCCGCCACGACCGTCCCCTCGCACCACCGCGGGCGGTGCCGGCGGGCGCCGCCAGTCGCGCGGGGGGCGCCGGCCGAGGCTCAGCGCGTGGCCGCGCCGGGTTCGGTTCACCTCGATGACGCCGCTGGCGGCCAGGACACCGCCGCCGCCGCCGGCGAGCAGCAGCAGCGCGCGCACGGGGCCCGATCGGGGGAAGGGCGGGCACGCGAAGCTCACGTTCGCCGAGCGCCGCCGGTAAGGCGGCGGCGGCAACGGCTTGGACTGCCACGACGGCGCCAGGAGCCGAACGCCAGATCGACGCGCAGCCCCGGCGGGAGGGGGCCGTCGGACGAGACGACGGTCACGACGAGGGCGCCGCCGCCTCCGTCGTCGGCAAAATGCGACGGCGCCCGCAAGAAGATCGTAGACCGCGGCGGCGGCGACGGACGACAGTGACGACACCGGACGGTCGGCGGGTTCCCACACGGCAGCTGGGCTGTAGGTGCGAGCGGCCGAGGAGGAGGAGGAGAAAGTAGGGCTGCTTGCCGATGCAGTCGTCGGTGTTGCCGGTGATGTTCTGCCGAGCGGTGACAGCGTGCCGGTGAGCGAGCCGTCACGTGCTCTTGTAGACAGGGCCTCCTGCGTTCCGCTCCCCGGCTGCTCAATATCTGGGGGTCGAGCGGAAGTCCCGCCAGATGTCATACCGGGCGAGGTGGCTGTTGATCTGCCAGATATGATGGGCGATGTTCCAGCAGGTGGATAATCGGACGTTCTAGGAGGCGGCATATCCGTCGGTCTGCCAGATATCGTGCTCGGAGTCCCAGATGAGACGTGTTGTGTTCCACGAGATAAATGCAATATTCCACCAGATGGCAAACCAGAAGTTCTACTGAACTGGGATGTTGGTTGCCTCTGGCATTCCACCAGATGTTCCACCAAAGGCAGCACTTCCCGGCGTAACAGACGTACCTAACGGAAAACGAGACGTCGTGCCGGACGGGACATCCGGCATCTCGCTCGATACGCTCCCCAATAGTCCGCCAGCCTTACCATCGGACGTTCCGTCAGGCGGCGTATTCGACGGTCCACCGGATGAGCCGTCTAAGATTCTCACGGACAGGGTACTGGAAGTCCAACCGAGCGTGACACCGGGTATCTCGCCAGCCGGAGCGTCCGGCAGCCTACCGGATATTCCGCCCGTCATCCAACCGGGTGGAAAGCCAGCTGGCGCACCGGATGCGACGTCGTTAGATGTCCAACCAGACGGGGCGCCCGGCGTCGTAACGGACGGGCTGGGAGGCGGCGCGCCGTCGAGGGGGGACGCGCCCGAGGCCGGCGGCGACGTCGTCAGCGGCGGCGTCAGATGGCGCCCCCCTGCGGCGTGCGACGAGGTGACGCACGCTTGCACACGCACGCACGGCGGACAGACGGACAGACGGACAGACGGACAGGGCGTTTTGTTGAACTGCGGTCGCCAAGGGGTGTCACGCGCAACGGATCTGCCGTACGAAAGTTTTTGAGCGGCACGGTGGCTCGGTGGTGACGCTCGCGTCTCACGGCAAAGAGAGTACCTGGGTTAAACTCCCGACTAGGGCGCCTTTCCGCGTGGAGTTTCTACGTCCTCCCCCTGTTCTGCGCGGGTTTCCTCTAGGTGTTCCACTTTTCTGCCCATAGCTAAACACATCCCAATGCCAAACATTTTTAATTTACATGAAAATTACTCAATTGGGAATAAACACAACATAATCTCCCCCGCTATACAGCGCGAGAGTGTTTAATGAGCGCGTGCCACCTGCTGTGGATGGCTTGGGGAGTCTTTTTATCCAAAAGTAGTCGTAGTAGCAGTCGTAATAATATTATCGTCAACAGAGAAACGGGGAGGTAACAAACCTGTTGCTAGGCACCAGAAGAGAAGGGCCTGAGCCGTGTCGATCGGCGACATGATGTACACCACGTTGGAGCCTGCAGGACGCACACAAGTCATTCATTCGCCGATGCTCTGTCCACTGCTGGGGTCCGGGTTCTTGTCCGATTCTTAAATAAGTGACATCTCGATGGATCTTGTGAGGTCAAAGAGTCATTCAAGAACAGCAGACCAAGCCACCATCGCTCCCCAAGCACAGAGACGAAGACAAAGGTCCACTATGTAGCAAGTGTCGTGGCAAGTGTCGTTAGCGAGCGCCTATTGAGGACGGCACGGAGTACAAGGAGAGAGGTGGGTTGGCCCGCACCACGCATGGCCGTCTTGTCTCCCCGAGCGGTGGTGTTGACACACCAAGACCAGGTACTCATTGAGGGCTGAGTCAACCAAAGTGAAGCCCAGGGCCGGCTCGGATGCAACTCGCAAGTGACGTTAGCCGTGGCCGGGAATCGAACTCGGGTTTGCCAAATTCCGAGCGCAGTGCGCTAACCACTGCACCACCGCTCCTCAGCACACATACACTCAGCCGTACCCACGCACTCTACCACACATCGTCAAGCGCATCAGATACGTCGACAGGCCGATGCGCACATCCCCTTCATGGACCGCAGAGTAAACCCACAGAGACACATAGAGCTCCACAGAGATACATGGAGACCCATAGAGATGCACAGAGACCCATAGAGACACATTAAAGGCATAAACACAGCAGTGCGATATTGGCCGTGCAACCCAATCTACTGCGGTCTGCGCTCATTCAGCGGACGAGGGATAACAAAACGACACAGACTCTCTCTCCTGAAGCCCTCTCGTTGTGGCCAATAGACCTTGACATTTGGCATCTAACTCATATTGACATTCGCAAGAATACAACCACACATGCACACTAACCCTCTCTCTTACACTCACCCTCTCTCTCACACACCACCCACACACCCACTCACTCTCTCTCACACCACACACACTAACTCACTCTCTCTCTCACATCACACACACGCTCTCTCTCTCACACCACACAGACCCACTCACCCTGTGTCTCACACCACACACACACACTCACTCTCTCTCACACTACACAGAGCCACTCACCCTGTGTCTCACACCACACACACACACTCACCCTCTCTCTCACACCCACACTCACCCTCTCTCTCACACCACACACTCACCCTCTCTCTCACACCACACACACGCACTCACCCTCTCTCTCTCTCTCTCTCACACCACACTCATCCTCTCTCTCACACCACACACTCACCCTCTCTCTCACACCACACACACACACTCACCCTCTCTCTCTCTCACACCACACACACGCACTCACCCTCTCTCTCTCACATCACACACACACTCACCCTCTCTCTCACACCACACACTCACCCTCTCTCTCACACCACACACACGCACTCACCCTCTCTCTCTCTCACACCACACACACGCACTCACCCTCTCTCTCACACCCACACTCACCCTCTCTCACACCACACACTCACCTTCTCTCTCACACCACACACTCACTCTCTCTCACACACACAAACTCACTCACTCTCTCTCACACCACACACACACTCACTCTCTCTCACACCACACACACACTCACTCTCTCACACCACACCACACACACTCACTCTCTCTCTCACACCACACCACACACACACTCACCCTCTCTCACACCCACACACACAAACTCACCGCAATCCCATGCTGCCTCTACACGTCCCAACTCAAACTTCTGTCGCGCGAGTTGAGATTCGGCGCCCACCGCCGCCGCCGCCTCCTAGAACTCGTCCACCCCGTGGCCCGCTGCTGGCCATTGTGAACCTGTGCCAGGCAGGGAGAGAGACGGGCATAGCTCTGCGCCTGGGCACGTCTCCTCGGAGGCGGCTCAATGGGCCCGCGACGTCGCGTGGGGCAGCTCTGAAAGCGGCTGGCACGGGCGGGCAGGGAATTCCGCTTCCCTTTGCTTCCCTTTGTTCCCTCGCTCTCCTTTATTTGGCCGTTTATGCCGAGCGAGGTTCTCGTGAGAGACAGAGTGCGCGCGTGCGTGCTGGTGCGTGCGTGCTGGTGCGTGCGTGCTGGTGCGTGCGTGCTGGTGCGTGCGTGCTGGTGTGTGTGTGCTGGTGTGTGTGTGCTGGTGTGTGTGTGTGCTGGTGTGTGTGTATGCTGGTGTGTGTGTGTGCTGGTGTGTGTGTGTGCTGGTGTGTGCTGGTGTGTGTGTGTGCTGGTGTGTGCTGGTGTGTGTGTGTGCTGGTGTGTGTGTGCTGGTGTGTGTGTGTGCTGGTGTGTGTGTGTATGCTGGTGTGTGTGTGCTGGTGTGCTGGTGTGTGTGTGTGCTGGTGTGTGTGTGCTGGTGTGTGTGTGTGCTGGTATGTGTGTGTGCTGGTGTGTGTGTGTGCTGGTGTGTGTGTGCTGGTGTGTGTGTGCTAGTGTGTGCGTGCTGGTGTGTGTGTGTGTGCTGGAGCGTGCGTGCTGGTGTGTGCGTGCTGGTGTGTGTGCTGGTGCGTGTGTGTGCTGGTGTGTGCATGTGTCTGTGTGTGTGTGTGCTGGTGTGTGTGTGTGTGTGCTGGTCCGTGTGTGTGTGCTGGTGCGTGCGTGCTGACGCGTGCGTGCGAATGAATGCGTGTGGCTGTACGTGTCTGTGCATACGTGAGCGTTGTAAAGTGTGTGTGCGTGTGTGTCTGCACGAGTGTCTGTGTACGAGTCTGTGTCTTTGTGAGCGTGCTCGTGTTGTGGGGGGGGGGGGGCACGGTGGTGCAGCGGTTAGCGCGCTGCACTTCGAACTCCTCCACCCGAGTTCAATTCCCACCCACAGCCAACGCCAGTGAAGATTATCTGAACCGGTCCTCAGCCTCAAAATAAATACACGGTGCGGTGTGTCGTAAACATCGCCCCTGGGGAGACAAAGGCGGTCGGGCGTGGTGCTGGCCACCTAACCCCCTCGTATGC